TGTGTGTGTTTGTTTAATTTCTGTGGGGAGGACTCCAAGTGTATTCTTAATGCTCAACCCCTCAAGAATACTCCTGGTCCCTCAGGCCTTACACGTACGCCCTAGGGCCCCTCCCCCCTGCACGCACTCGGTACCCGGTCCACTTTTCCCTCTCGGTATACTCTGGGGGAAGGGGGGCATCACACCCTGGCCAGCTCCGGTCGCAGGTGCCTTGGGCACCCCCCCCCCAGCAGTGTCTTCTCGTGTTTGGGGGTCCCCCAGCCCCTCCCCTGCAGTCGCGCCGCGCCACCCGCCCCGTGGCCGCTGTTTACAAGGACACGCGCTTCCTGACAGTGACGCGAGCCGCCTCCTCCCCTTCCCCACGCTCGAAGAGGGGGGCGCGGGGGCCGGGCTCAGGCGACGGCCAATCCGAGCGCACTTCCGCCCCTGACAGCCCGTATAAAGACGAGAGGCTTGGCTGAGCGGCTGGGACCTTGAGCACCGCCAGGGCAGCGTCCGAGCCAGCGGGGAGCAGGGAGCTGGGGAAAGCGACGCCGAGAGAGCGATCGCACCTGAGAAGGGAACGAAGGACGGGGGAAACCGGGTAGAGCTTTGGCCCACGGCCGCCGGCTGGCTGCTCCCCGCCCGAAACTGCCCCCGGGAACGCGCGCCCAGACACTTGGTCCGGCCACCGCCGCGGACGGCGCGCCGCTCGCTGCAGGGAGGCCTGGGGCGGCCCCGCAGGGACCCCCGACCCAAGCCCGCCGGGCCGCCCGGATGTGCACCAAAATGGAACAACCCTTCTACCACGACGACTCTTACGCAGCTGCGGGCTACGGCCGGGCCCCTGGTGGCCTCTCTCTACACGACTACAAACTCCTGAAACCGAGCCTGGCACTCAACCTGACCGACCCCTACCGAGGTCTGAAAGCAACCAGCGCGCGGGGCCACGGACCGGAGGGCAGCGGCGGCGGCAGCTACTTTTCCAGCCAAAGCTCGGACACGGGCGCATCGCTCAAGCTCGCCTCGTCGGAGCTAGAGCGCCTGATCGTTCCCAACAGCAACGGCGTGATCACGACGACGCCCACGCCACCGGGACAGTACTTTTACCCCCGTGGGGGTGGCAGCGGCGGAGGTGCGGGGAACGCAGGGGGAGGCGTCACCGAGGAGCAGGAGGGCTTCGCCGACGGTTTTGTCAAAGCTCTGGACGACCTGCACAAGATGAATCACGTGACGCCCCCCAACGTGTCCCTGGGCGCCAGTGGGGGACCCCCAGCAGGCCCCGGCAGCGTCTACGCGGGCCCGGAGCCGCCTCCGGTGTACACCAACCTCAGCAGCTACTCCCCAGCCTCTGCACCCCCTGGAGGCGCCGGAGCCTCTGTCGGGACTGGCAGCTCGTACCCGACGGCCACCATCAGCTACCTCCCTCACGCGCCTCCCTTCGCCGGTGGCCACCCTGCGCAGCTAGGCCTGGGCCGCGGAGCCTCCACCTTCAAGGAGGAACCACAGACGGTGCCGGAGGCGCGGAGCCGCGACGGCACGCCGCCAGTGTCCCCCATCAACATGGAAGATCAGGAGCGCATCAAAGTGGAGCGTAAGCGGCTGCGGAACCGGCTGGCGGCCACCAAGTGCCGGAAGCGGAAGCTGGAGCGCATCGCGCGCCTGGAGGACAAGGTGAAGACGCTCAAGGCCGAGAACGCCGGACTGTCGAACACGGCCGGCCTCCTCCGGGAGCAGGTGGCCCAGCTCAAACAGAAGGTCATGACCCACGTCAGCAATGGCTGCCAGCTGCTTCTTGGGGTCAAGGGACATGCCTTCTGAGATCCCTCACTCCCGTACGGACACCCCACCCCCCAGCCTGGACGGCTGGGCGCACCGCTCCGGGGGCGGGGGAGGAGGCAGGCGATGGACATTCGCCCCAGGACCTGGGGGCGCCGCAAACCACACTGGACTCCAGCCCGCCCGCTCTCGCCCAATCCTTTCCACTTCGACGTTTACAAGCTCCTTCCGTGTTTTTTTTTTTCTGCTGGAAACAGACTCGATTCATATTGAATATAATATATTTGTGTATTTAACAGGGAGGGGAGGAGGGGGCGATCGCGGCGGAGCTGGCCCCGCCGCCCGGTACTCAAGCCCGCGGGGGCACTGGGTAGGGGACCTCCGCCCCCTGGCCTCCCCTCTCTGCACCGTACTGTGGAGAAGAAACACGCACTTAGTCTCTAAAGAGTTTATTTTAAGATGTGTTTGTGTGTGTGTGTTTGTTGTTCTGACTTTTTATTGAATTTATTTAAGTAAAAAAATCGTTCTTTAATTTCTGGCGTCTTTTTTTTCTCCAAACCGGGTGGACGGAGGGAGGAGAGGAGTGGGAGGCTCTCACCCACCACAGTTTAGGGCTCACTCCAGGGCCTATGTCCCCCTCGCCAGACCTGCCCGGGCACCTAGGGCCCCCAGCCCTCCCTCCCTTAGTCCTCTGGCCCTCCGGGGCTTTTAGGTCCTAAGCGCGGGCAGTGGTCCAGCAGCCCCACACCGCGGGGCAGGGAGCCTGCGGCGAGACGCGGAGCACGCAGACGCGGCCCCGCCCAGTCGCGCGCGCCGGGGCTTTCCCAGCTGACGCAGCGGAAACGTTGCCCATATATGGACCGATGCTGCCCAATGACGCGCCGGCGGTCTCCGGGCAGATTCCGGGAATCCTCCCCCGCTCTGCCGGGCAGGACCGCGGCGCCGGGAAGGGGGCTGGGATTTTCCCGGGCGGGCGGCTGCCCGGGCCCGGAAAGCCCCAGACCTGGGTCCAGAGCGCCCGCAGTGGGCGGGCCGCGCTCCTGAGCCCCGGGAACTACCCCCAGGCGCCCCCATTAGGCTGGCGCCGGAGCCTTGTCGCCTCCACGCCCCCTCAGTCTGACCTGACCCGGGAGGAAGATTGCCGCCGCCCCCACCCCACCCCACCCCCGCCAGGAAGGGCGGTGCCGACTGCCAGTTTCCCCTCCCGGGTGCCAGGCCGGGAGCGGGGCGAATGCCAGGTCTGGTCCTGCCGGGGCGACTGCTCGGGCCGCCGGGCATCGTTACCGCCCTCGCACGGGGCTCCCTCCCCAGCTGCTGGGACGGGTGGGGGGCGACTAAGGCAATGGCTGGAAGTGTAGAGCAGCGGAGAAAAACATAGACTGAGAAACCAGGTCACAGGGGTGGGGAGGGAAGAACAGGCACTTCATTAATTCATTTATAAAATACTGAACACTGAAGCTGCCTCTGGAGACACAAACAGAACCACAGCAGACGGCGCATAAACAAGCAAACGTGGTTCCCTGGTGGTGGCTGTAAACAGCTCCGGGTCATAGGGGGGCGGAGGGGGCGGGGCAGAGAGACTTGGGGCAGGTGGGATGCTCTGTGTGTGTGTGTGTGTGTGTG